TTCACTGGAATTTTTTTTTAACATTTAGAATTACATCACTTGCTCACCAATGGATTCTCTGCAGTGAATGGGTGCCGTCAGAATGATAATGATAAAATGATAAAAGCTGATTTAAAAAAAAAAAACATCAGAAATTATGGATCTGTTTCCTACAAACACTCAGCTTTCTGCTTCACAAGATGCTAAAAGATGGACTGGAGTGCTGTGGATTACATCTGAATTATTGTGATGTTTTTATCAGCTGTTTGGACTCTCATTCTGACGGAACCCATTCACTGCAGAGGATCTGTTGATGGATGAACTATTCCTTTAACACACAGTATCATAGCATGTCACAAACTCCTGTCACCACTTAAAATGTCATGTCAATTTCCTATGCTTTTTTTCCCCCAGTCAGGCACTTAATATGTGAGTGTGCAGTGGACCTAGTTACACAAAGGACTGTCTCCCTAAATATATTCCTGTTGGACACACAGAAGCGTTTCTGCTGGGCTGTTGGTCATGTTCAGGGTCAGTGGAAGAGCAGTCAGTAGGTATCTTTTTAGTGTCTTAGCGTCTTATAAACAGTAGTGCCATCCTCTTTTTGTTGTGTATGTGAATCTGGCACAAGTCTGAGCAAGTTTAAACAAGTAGTCCACTTAATTTACAACTGAAGTGTACGTGTGTGCATGTACTTCGTGTCTCTGGATCTCAAGGGGCCAAGGAAAGCTAAATTTCATCCAGCACTCCAGCCTCATTCTCTCTGTCTTGCTTTGTGTGCAGAGCCTATCAGGCCCAGAATGCATCAGATGCACACAACCTAACCCACTTACAGCTTAACCAGACTGCTAAGGGAGCCTATTCACACTAAGGTTAACTATGGTCAGGATAACTCTCTCTTTCTCTATTCCCATACAGTCTTCTCCATATCAAATGCCCTTGTAAACTTTTATTACCCCTTATATGTCACCCAGGAAAGAGGTTAAGTTTGATGTTTTAATTACCGGAAGGTTACATCGAGAAAATGTTATTGCTCAGAGGTTGCACTTTCATAGCTCAGACCATTGTTGACACACAGCAAGTATAGAAGAAATTATGAATATATGAAGAGTTCAGATGCGAAAGCCTCTAAGTGCCGTCTGAAATTTTCTTCTAAAATGAGCATTTTTAATATTTTTAATATATTTTTATGTTCAGTTATTTTAGATTAATTGCATTGAAAAGGACCTATACATTGCCATTAGAATAAAATGACTGAACCTAAACTTAGGAGCCTGATAAAAATGCTCATTTTAGATGAAAATTTCAGACGACACTTAGAGGCTTTAAATCCGTGTATCATTCGATCATTCGTTTTTTTTTTTTTTAATATTGAAAGTAGATAAACGAGAAAACGGCTCCTTTTTCATTGTGCGAGCTGTCTCTTTAATACCGTGTGGTTTACATACACGTTTCTGCTGATTGGGCTGACATGTTGGACACACCCACCAAACAAGAGAAAACGCATCTCAAACCCCGTTGCACACCGTTTCCAGGAAACATGTCGTTCAAACCGGAAACCGTAGCAAAACTGTGCACACCTGATTGAGCTTGAACTTGCCCTAGTTCTTCTGCAGTATCACGCAGCAGAATAATAGTCCTCTGCTGCAGTTGTACAGATTAATAACCCATTTTATCAATGTCATATTTTTCTCATCAAACAGACTAATGAATAGCTCGACACAACTCGTACCGGGGCAGAGTCTAGACGGGTCTTTCTTCTGTGTAGACCAGCAGTTCTTAAAGTGATAGGGTCCGAGAAATAATTTGCTATAGCCTAAAACCTAAAGTATTTCCAGATCGTAAAGTCGCTTTTTTTATCATGATACATAGGCCTACTGTGATTTATTCCAAAGTGACTTATATGATGCATTTAACGCCACATAATCTAAATGAAGCCTCTTAAAAGACAAGTATTCCCTGTGGTTCATGTTTGTGGCATGCGCCGGAAAGATGCTCAAGGAGACCGAGACGCGCTAAAGCAGCGCATTCTGTTGTTCTCTTTATTTTTCAAAGGCATGACATTTAGTAGTTATTTTGAACATAACGTTACACAAATAAAAATATACATTTTACCATACGACTATAAATGACAGAGTATTAAGTTATTTCCCCTCGATGGTTATTCATTTTTCCACCCATGAACAAAAAACGAAAATTTAAGCTGAATTTTCGTTTTTCGTTTTTTAGAAAAAAACAAAAAAACGAAAAAGGAGCCGTTTTCTCATTTTTCTACTTTCAATATTAAATAAAAAAAACGAATGATCGAATGATACACGGATTGCTTTAGCATTTAGAATTTAGGATTTTATGATTACAACACAGTTATTTTGCATAGATATTGATAAAATAAGAAAAATTATAATAATAATTATATTTAGGATTGAATCACCATTATTTGCAAAGATAAATATTGACAAAATAAGCATAATGAAATAAAATTATATTGATAATTTATGATTACATTTAGAATTAAAACAATAATTTTGCATAGATGTATAGATATTGATAAAATAAGCATAATTAAAATTATAATCATAATTTGTGATTATATTTATAATTGAAACAATTATTTTGCATAGATAGATATTGTTAAAATAAGCATAATTAAAATTATAATAATAGATGACAATTATATGTATGATTAATAATTATTTTGTCTAGATAGTGTTAAAATAAGCATAATAAATTAATAATCATAAATTATGATTATATTTATGATTAATTATTTTGCATTGATAGATAAATTCTAATAAATAAAATAAGCATAATTAAAATTATAATTTATTATTACATTTATGATTAAAACAATTATATTTATGATTAAAATGTAGACCGATATTGATAATAAGCATAATTTATAAAAACAAAATGAATGAAATCCAGTATGAGACATCCATTTACTAGTTGTTTATAATTTTACTGCTTGAGGCAAGTGACTTTCATATCATTTGGCAAGCAGGGTTTGCCTGCCAGCAGGACTTTGCCCGACTCTTTAGCCATTAGAGGATTTATATCACCATTGGCGGGTACGGCAAGACTGGCACACAAATACCAGACATTATTTGCAAAGATTTAGGACCAGAGCTCAAGCAGCTAAGCCGCAGTTAGCAAGACATTGGTTGTTTTCCAAGATCACTAGTTTTCAGATTTCTAAAGAAATGTATTTTTTGTCAGCATTTCTAGAATGCCGGTGACGTGATAAAAGGAAATAGAATTCCACTTATTTAGTCTTTTTCCTATAGCGTGATCTGCATAGTTTCTCAACTCATTCAGCCCCGTGACCCACAGTTCACTTCCTGTTTCTCTTAAAGCACTTCCTGTTTCTCTTAAAGCACTTCCTTTGCGCTTGTAGATGAGTCAGAGTGCAGTTTCAGTGACCTTTACTATTGCAGTGTTTGGCTGTATGTATGTTTGTGTGAGTGTGATGGGGTGTGGAGGCTGATTTAGAGTGAAAAAGCATGCCTGCTTTGGCCGGAGTTGTTCCTAGAACGATTATTTTCTGTCAGAGCACTCACAAACACCTTCAAGTGTTAACAATGGTTTGTGAAGTTACTGTGATTTCCAGATCGGTCTTGGAGAATAGAAGGAATAAATAGACATTTCCTCTTGGCCTTCTGGTTGCACACAAACATGTTCATAAGCACGCCTCCACAGCCACGCAAAGGACGTACACGCCTCTACACACATGCTCGCAGATGCACACATCCGTTCTGCTACATTCATGCAACAAAAACAACACTTGAAAGTTAGACAGTGTAGCTGCTATCAGCTGTGCACATGCACACCTCATTTTTTTTTACACAAATAGCACCCAAGCATTGTGCACCATTTTGATTTAATAGGAAAGCATATTTTTTTCTCTCCTCACAATGACAGAAATATGAATATGTGACCCCCCCCCCAAAAAAAAAATTCTAAGGATTTCATTGGTCAATCACAGTGCTGATTGCCTACACAACACTGAAACAAATACTAACCCCTAACGAAAAGATAACCACACTGTTTGACACAATCTGATCTGATTTGTTGGCAGGTGATTGAGTTAGCCAATAAAAATCTTTAATGGTTTGGGAATTTTTTTGGGGGAGGAATATTGGGTTTGCACTGGTGGTTTGAGGGGAAAAAAAGCATGCAATGTGAATACATCAAGACCTAAGTACCATATTTACATTTTTAAAAACTGTCTTAAGATTTTAATTGTAATGTTGTGTCGTGTATTGTCTTAAAATATAATAAAATATGATTATACACTTTGACTTCACTTTGAGCTCCATGTACATAAATTGTTCCAGTCCATGTGTAGCTTGGCGACATAAAAATCAAATGCTTTGGCTTCTCTTGGAACTATATTTACATTGCCAGAGAAGAAATAAACCAACTAACTGAACAAAATGTTGTATGAAATTTAGATTACTCTATATTCACTTATCCAGCCTCCTGTCTGCGGCCGAATCACAGAACTCTTGCTTGTGTGATTTTGCTTATTATTTTGCTTATGTTTATTTATTAATTTTATTTTAATGTAAAAACTAAATCAGCTCTTGTTGTCTGAAGTGACATAAGGGGATGGAAGATTTTTAAAAATTATTTTGTTACCTAATTTATTTTGTTTAATTTTTGATTTATTGATAGATCTTTACAACAAAATATATTCATTTCTAAAGCTTAATTAAAAGCAACAAATCACTTTACTACTAAAATATTACGACGCATAGATTAAAAAACTGCTTCTGCTTATATAATACTGGTTGCATTTCAGCGGCACACATTCCTAAAGAAGAAAAAGATTAATTTGTGAAAGTGTATTTAACACTCAGCCAGAATTCCTCTCATTCTCTCGTGTGAATTTCAGCTGAGTATAGTAAAAACAGCTTTACTGCATTTACTAAATTGAAGTCAGCACAGCTGCCTGTCAGCACACAAACTCCCTCATTGGACTCTTCAATCCATTATTCTCTCCCCCCACCCTTAAATCCATTTCTCCGGGCTTTGCAGCTCGCCACGCCTCGCCTCGTTTTTTCTCAATAGTTGTCAGAGCTTCGGGTCACTCGCTAGTCGTCGTGAGGCATCTTCCACTCCCTTTCTTTCTCTCTCTCTGTCTCCCTGTCCTCCACCTTCTCAGGCTCCAGCATCCTTTTTGCAAAGGCAGAGAAAACCGTGGACCGCGAAGCAGCTCGTATACTCGAGGTCGTCTGAGCTCTGCATTATCCGAGGCAGGAAAACAAACGCAAGTCTTTTCTCCTCAAAAGTTCTCGACTCAAACTCCGACCATGTCCGGCGAAGACGCACCTGCCCAGCAGCAAAACGCCGAGGAGCAGAAGCAGCAGCAGCAGCAGCAAGAAACCAAGACGCCCGCCGAGTCCCCAAAAACCGAGAGCAAACCAGACCCACCGCCCAGCGGCGCCTCCACCGAGGCCGCCGCCGCCGACACCGACACCCCAGCGCCCGCAGAGGAGAAAGCCCCAGAGGAAGACACGTTCAGCTACCGGGCTCTGGTGCTCACCGGCTACGGCGGCTATGATAAGGTGAAACTCCAAGTAAAGAAGGGGAAGCCAGCTCTCAAGAGCGGCGAGGTGATGGTGCGCGTAAAAATGTGCGGGCTGAACTTCGCAGATCTGATGGCAAGACAGGGACTGTACGACCGGCTCCCGTCCCCGCCGGTAACCCCGGGCATGGAGTGCTCCGGGATCATCGAGGCTGTCGGTGAAGACGTGACTGACAGAAAAGTGAGTAAACTCATCGCTTAGTTTATCTATACAGCCATTTATTCATTAACGGTGTTCATTTTATTGCACATTTAACGCGTTTGTTGTTATGGAAATGTTTCCACAATGTTTACAGTTCATACTCTGTGCAAAAATAATGTCAGTCATTCAAAGAGACAACTCGTTCTCAAACTCCTGTCACATTCACTCGCCACCGGAGACAAAAGAGGAGCGGGAGGGGCACCGATAGCCTCATTTCAGAACCACCGGAGCTCTTGTCGCGCTGACCCGAGCAATGGAACGCTAAACGTTCACGGGAGAGCGAGCTTTGCTTGTGTACGCGGCGAGTTGAAAGTAACAAACAGCCCGATGATACTTTTTGTACACAGTTATGCAAACACAGCGTTCACAGCTTCCTATAATGGAAGCGTTGAGTTTATCGCGTCTCTGTGTGGATGAACCACCGCCCCTCTTTCTCTCAGCGCACGCGAAAAGTCGCACCTGAGACGCGCCGCATCCGCGCACGTGCGCGTTTAATTCTAGACGTTCTAAAAAGTAGCGAAATTATGCTCTCGACCGGTGTTAATGCACTTTTAGCAATCTGTGCGAGCGATAGCGGTGTCAAGTGGGCGCGTGAAAAAAAAGGGCGAGGCGCAGGGGGGAAAATGCTAATCGCACGCGCCCTTTGTCATCTGCCTCGGGCATTGTGACACCGACATACACTCTGACATCATTCATCATTCCTGCCAGATTTTTTCTCTCTCTTCGTTTTGGCCTCTTTAAACAATAATTAAATTTTTTCTTCCTTTTATATAAACATCAACGCCTGTTTCTGTAGGCATAGCGCCAATGCAATACAATTTCTTATTATTACCATATTTGATACAGTTGGCCGGCGGATATCTATGCGATTAAATAAAATAAATAAATCTAATTCTCGGGTTACTTTTTCAGCTCCATAGAAAACGGCGGAGTCTAGTATGACGTGGCCTAATTGACTTTCTATGTGCTCCATAAGAACAAATCGATGAGTCATGCCTGGTGGTAGCTGCGCTGGTCTCCATGGCAACGTATCATGGCAACGCCATGCACCGGCTCTCTGTGTGAGAGTTGGTTGAAAGGATTTGATGTTTGTATTACCGAGAATAAACACGCTTAATGAGAAGCAGGCAAGGTAAGATGTTGAAGAATTGTGTGAAATGCAGATTAAAGCCTGAGCGTGTGTTAACACCAAAGAGGGAGCGAGCACTAGGCGTTGGCTGGTGGGTGATGCAGAGGAGGAAGATAATTGTCCAGCCCTTCCTCAGCCTCGTCTGTCACCGATATTGAATTTAAAAGGTCACCGGTCTCTCTCTCTCTCTCTCTCTCTCTCTGTATTACCATGTCAGCAAGCAAACAATTGCTTCTTCTCACATTGGGAGACCTGATAGTGCTTGGCAAAGCTGACATTGTTTGGTGAGCATGTGAGGTGAGGAATCTGCTGACTGTGGCGTCCGGAAAATGACTCTTTCTTGGAGGAAGAGATGGAGACGCTGTCTCTGCGCACACCGCTGTAGAGGTGGACACTAAGGCTGTGACATCCTCTCACATGACCCGACAGATGTTACTCTGAAACTGCTCTCTTGTGCCCACTCTCTGTCTATATTAGCATTTTTGTCATGAATAATTCATGTAACTTGTTGCTTGTGCACACACACAATATTTATCAGAGTTCTGCTGCGAGGATCAGATGCATCTGTTCACAATTAACTTCCTCTGGACCACATTGTCAGCCACACAATTTTCTCTCTCTCTCTCTCTCTCTCTCTCCCCCTCTCCCTCTCCCTCTCTCCCTCCCTCTGTGTCTGTGTGTGTCTCTGTCTCTCTCCCCATGTCATTGGTTTGGTCGATGAATATAAAAGCCTGTTTTTATTACATTAATAATATGCCAAGACACCCACTGTGGGAAAAATAAACGGTCATAATATTTGGCATGGGAGACGGACAACATAATATCCAAATCCATATTCAGTCTGCGAGCTCAAATTTAGCACGCTTTCTCCCCGATGTGTTCCCAATGCTAATTCTGTGTGGCCATCTTGCCCGGCGCGGCGGGAGTTCATTTGTGTGAAATGGTGGATGTTGATGTGGCATCACACAGGGGGTCAGCCCTCCGCTTAGACGTGCGCTTCAACCGTCCTCCTGCATTTAGGTGTTTTCTGTGTATTCATACAAATGCTACATCTAAATACATATGATCGTGAGGAGAATAAACAGTCTGATTTATTTTTTCTTGTGTCTTTATACTCATTTTCACTCCAATCTCCTGGATTTTTCAGTCTTTTAACGGCTCTCATTTGAAACTGTGGTCTTCATATCAAACCCTCTCCATTTTAAATGCTTTTTAGGCTGTTTTAGTACATTTCCCACACCTAAGCATTCCCTACCCCCTTTTAGTCCCGTTTCATTTCATATTCCTCCATCTTCAATCTGTTTTCTGTCTTTTAGTCTTTTATTGAGCTACAAGGAGACCACATTTGCTTTAGATAACCTTAAGATGACTTAAATTGATTCTTGAGTAATGGGTCAAAACAGGCTGAAAGAAAGAAAGAAAGAA